TTGTGTGAATCCCTAATTATTTCCCGGCTGTTGACCAGGGCTGTGTGTCTGTCTGCTCCAGATGCACCTCTCTGGAAAACCCAGCTAGAAAGCAAGGGGGGCTGGCAAGATCCGCGGGCCTCCTCAACAGGCTGTGAGCGTGCGAGTGAGTGGCCATGAGCCGAACCTGGGAGCAGCGTGTGCAACACCCCCCTTTTAGCAAATCCTTTCTGAGCTTCTTTCAACAATTCTTCAAGTGGTTTCTCATTCCAAGCATCTATTTTCTGAATCTTTTTCTGAATATCAGGCCTTTTAGCAAATCCTTTCTGAGCTTCTTTCAACAATTCTTCAAGTGGTTTCTCATTCCAAGCATCTATTTTCTGAATCTTTTTCTGAATATCAGGCCACGCTTTGGTAACAAAATGGACTTTTAACAAACTTCAGTTTACTGGGTCCTCTGGATTCATACCAGAATATTTCCCCATTTGATCTCTCAGACGCTGTAAAAATGCTGAGGGTGCCTCTCTTTTCTTCTGTTGTATCTCAAATACTTTATTAAAATTTTGAGACTTAGGCACAGCCTTCCTTATGCCTTGAATCATCATGTTTTTCAGATCTTTCATGTTATTTCTCCCATTTGGATTGCTGTTATCCCAGTTAGGGTCCATATTTGGGAACTTCTGATCTCCTGCTACTATTCCCTCCCCTGGGGGATTTCTCCCATCCCCTTCCACAATAGCTGCATGTCTAATTAATCCCCTCTCTTCTCCTCTGAACAGAATACTCATAACAGACATCCCCTCTCTTCTCCTCTGAACAGAATACTCATAACAGACATCCCCTCTCTTCTCCTCTGAACAGAATACTCATAACAGACATCAACTAGGACCAAGTATATCAATTTGGTCCCCAAAACTGATCCAATGGTTCTGCCGATCCTACTGGATCCTCTATGAGATTCTTCATTTCCTTGTTAAAATTCCTTACTTCTGCAGCACTTAAAGGGGCATTTACATATCCAATTTGCCCCTGTCCCATAGGTACCTCTCTTAAGGGACCCATTTTATTTTTCTCAATGTTCTTACTTCCAGACCCTGGGGGAAAATAATTAAATCCGTCTTGTTGCAATCTTGGATACAAAGGGGCCGTTGCTGTTTCAGGTCTATCCACACTCTGCCCCGTTTCAGTTTCTTTGTCATCTTTTGAGATCTCTCTGACATTGTTCAAGCTCTTTCCTGAGTTTAGGGTACCGGTTATTGGCCTGGGTATATCCTGGGTTGTATGGTGGTGGCAAGAGTTTTCTCTCCTCCTCCACTGGCTCGTCGAGCAACACGAGGGACTCACTATTCCTCTTATTGCTTGACTTAGGCCACTGGTCAGGAGTCCAGATTAAAGTATAATTCAATTCATATTCTAGTGACTTACACTCTTTTTGTTTTACATATTCTTATAAAGCATGGCACTGGAAGTAGTCGTTAGACCCATCCTGGGGCCATGCAACTTGTTTGTCTTCCCACCACGCATAACAACACAAATTTACCATTTCCTCTTTATTCAGTTTCAACTTTTCTAT